ACCGGATCAGAAAGCCTGTCATACGAATGCAACTGAACCCACAACTCCAGTTGTACGAGCAATGACTTCAAAGGGGAGGTGTTAGGAGGCACTCCTACGAACATATTGCTCACATTTCTCTCTCTATATTTCAGCCTTTCATTGGACTGTTTGTTCCATTCCATTCCTGATTCTTCGAATCTCGATATTGGCTGTTCAGTTGCCGCAGTATAATTTCCTCAAGGCTTTTTGTCTTCTCAATTTCGTGTGTAACTGACAAGGTTGATTGACTGATTAGTAGAGAATATAACGGTCCCGAAAACGTCGCTCGTCTCGACAAGCAAATAATCGCAAAGGAGCTGGGAAGGCAATGTTCTAGATGGCATGCATTTAATTACTCAAGGCTTATCACTCCTGTTCAAAAGCGGAACTAGTCACACTTTCCATGTATTCGGGGCGTTCATATTTACACGACCTTTATGCTTGACAATTCGGGTGGTTATTTCTGGCTGCTTGTCTTTTAAATGCAAAAGCACAGTGAGACAGTAAGATTGGAAAAAAACGCACAGTAGCCTGCGTTGGAGAGATGGGTCGAAGCATAGTTGGGACAACTTTAATGTGCCCCAAGGAAACTGATGCGGGAGCACGTGTTGAGTGAGGCGGTATATCGACTTTTCCTGTATTTCAGCCTTCCTGCTTCCTTGGAGTTACACGGCACGCAGGCACCAAAAAATGTTACAGCTGAACGATTGTCTTTTAGTGGTCTACTGTTGAAGAGGTTGGGTAAACTGCGCAACCAGACACTTGTTCCAAACGATGCTTATCAGTCGTTGACGGTTTAATGAGGATTTTTTCAGTGGACAGTGTATGACGGACAGCAGACCCTAAGTTAAGACTCATGGTTCCGTTCAGCACAGTCCCACCAAAGCGCACACCCGCTTCGTTTCGCCGGACAGTTGTACATGAAATAATATTCTCAGGAATAACTAAATTAAGTGTATATTTAGCAAGTTCCGACAAAACTGTAAGAGATTAGTAGTATCGTTCAGCTGTAGTCCCTTTTCAGTGCCTAGCTGTCATGCCACCCGAAGGAAGCATGAGGGATGGGATACTGCCGAGTTGCACAAGCCTAGACAGGGGAAGTCGAGGAGGTCGGGTTCAAACTACGGACCTTCAGGTCAGTAAATTTGCGCCTTAACCACTGAGCCATCTGAGACAAGGTAAAGTGGTTCGTTAACATTGGCTTGCGGGAACGAAATTAACGACAGTAAACTAAGACTGTTTTGATACCAGCTACAGATTCACCCAGTGGTAACTGCATGCTGAAGTCCTAACCAGTTGGACAAGTGAAATACTGAGGTCATGTAAATTTGTTATTGGCATAGCTCTCGGTGCAGTGGTCGATTTAACGCGTGAAGTAAGTGTGGCCTCGTTCTTCTACTTTTGTAAGTTCTTGGAAGCTGCAAGCCCGGTGATGTGTTCAGCAATCATCAGGCTGCTTGGCTGGGAGTGTGACCTGTAGGAGTGCAATTCTACATCCTGTGTCCCTTTAGTTCGGGAGTGGCCATCATAGCACTGGTTAATTCTATGTATGTGTGTGTGTGCGAACTGGCCAGTGTTACCACATTACTTCGATTACTGACATATGTATTTCTTATCCAGCTCCTGTAACGAGACCATGATCTATCCAAACAACCACTGACGCTGTTCACACCATATTTTCTATTATTTGGGAGAGGTCTTTTGAAAAATAAATACCTCCCAGACATGGCAGTAGAAGTACTAGATAGAAAACACACTTACTTGCAGAGTCTCAATTGAATGAATATTTTCTCTACATTGCGTTGCAACTTTATCGCTTCCTGTTTTGATTATATACTCCAAAAGCACCAATGCCTTATACACATGACGCCAGTTTTTGCTTTTGTCGTTCAGTCGTCGCCAAATCATTTGCATTATTTCTGTGAATGCCATTACATTGTGCGTCTTGTCAGCGATTTCCGCCATCAGCGTACTGCTCGGGCCCCAAGGATCATTGGACGTAGCCTCCCGAACCTTCCTTTCCGCGTCCGTATAGTTGTGGACCACATTTTTGATGTGCCGATGAATTGGCATGTTCCAAGGCTCAGGGCCAAATTAACCAGGGGCCGCGAGAGACTGAGAAGGAGGAACTTTCCACAGATAGAGTTATTCCAGAGTCGTTCTGCTATGAAATGTTGACTTGGGCCCTAACAAGCTCCCGAGAGGACGAAAACACACTGGAATTAGAAAGAGATGAGGTGAAGCTAGGACACTGCTTACTGTGGCAAAAATGTGCACTGTTGTCTCCAAACGACCACCCAGACCACCGCACCACAACAGTGGTAGCCAGTACTGAAAACCGGTGCCCCACTGCAGTGCGTGGGCAGTCACGGAACCAGTTCGCTTTCAGACAGCAGATTACAGTTGCAAACAAGTGTAGAAAAAGCTCCGTAAACCTCTGACTCGACAGCACTGAACTAGGGTGGCTTAGCGACTAATTTCATTTGGCAGTTGAAACGGGGTGAATCCTGGGTGAATCTCGAATGCTTCTAGGATGAGGAACACGTGAATCAGCCTGCACATGTCTAGAGATAGCGCAGGATATTGCACCCGATGTCTAAATGAGTGTCAGACGACTGCAAATATTTCTACTATACTAGGCTGGTTCTAGTTCACTTTCCCATCGTCCTCTTCTTCGCTCACCAGGATGCTGCTTCTTCAAGCACATTGGCGTGGTTGTACAGTGGTGTGCTGGAAGTGTTCCCGATGGAAATCACAAAGCATTTAGAAAAGAGAGCATGCTGAAGTGCCGTGGGAATCGGTAAAAATTAGGCTGGACTAGGCCACAAAGGTTGACGATAGATCTGTTCACTGTCCATTGCCACTAGCTGCAATATCCACAGTTAACTCAGCCTCAACACTTTTCAAACCCCGTCGCCCAGTGTATTCGACAGTCTTTAACGTTCACACTCTGAAACAAGCTGGACAACACATAGCTCCTGCATGTTCGCTGGACTCGCTTTCTGTTGATGTGTGCTATCTGCCTGTTTGCAACGAGGACTCAAGACCCTCCACTTCGGTTCGCGCTCGCTGCCGGTTGTACACCTCCACTGATCCAGAAGCCACTGCAGTTGGTCCTGCCGAGATTGGTAAGTTTCTGAGCCGCAGAGCTGAAGGGCTCCCGGTTGAATGGTTGCCTGTTGATGGTCGCCTTTGTGACGTTCATTGGGCGAGGTTATCCCGTAAATGCGCCGATAATCTCCGCCTGTTTATCGTATCTGATTACGCCCCAACAGACTGCAGTTCTAGTACACTCAGACAGTTCGTACTTCACTTTGAGCGTCTTGTTACGGTGGGCGAATAGCTCAGATAATTTTGTGGTTATCGGCGGCATGGATGTTAAAGTAAGTGAACTTCGCTTTCCCGGAGCTCTACTGGGTGATCGTGTATCACTGTCGGGCAGCGGCAGAAGCTTGATGCAGTGAGGTGCTAACTACAAACAGTTTCTGGTCAGTACTATCTTCAGAAACAACCAAAACGCTTAGCCACATGGTGCACCGCTCATGCGAATCAGCCTCCACCAGAGATAGACCACATCTGCATCAGCTGTGTGTGGCATGGGCTAACCAATGATTGTCCGTCGTTCTGGAACACCATTGTGGATCCGTTTTACGCTTTCGTTCATTACTACTTTTCATTGCGCCTTTGGCAGCGCGCAAGACGCGCACACTTCGCTTAACCACTGAGAAGCTCTCGGATCCTGATGCAAAGTAAGTCCATAAAAATCACCCACTGAAGTCCGTTTCGAACGAGACGGGTTATGGTACTGTCTGCAAACCTCCAAGACGCTGGGCGCAGCCAACTAGACCTAAGCGCTGGATCTCGGGCAACACTAAAACTGCTCAAAGCTTGGAAACGTATTCTCCATGGTTGAAGATATGTTACCACTAAATGAACTGTCAGAATGCATGCATGACGGCATGATATCAGTATTCAACACCGATGCTTCACAGCCGTACAATCATGATTCATTGGAAAGCCTTATTCTAAAGAAAAGAATAGAGGTGGATGGGGAAGGAATTTAGTGCTAGCTTACTACAATCATTCCGAGGTTCCTGCACCTCCAGACATTCACTCAGGTGGAAAAGAGCATCCGCGAAGTGGAGAACTTTGTTGGACCCAGAAACATGAAGAGGTGGAAGAGGCAGAAACTGTGAATATGCGTAAAGTATTCCAGCTGGTATACACCAAGGGCCCATAGAAGCTTCTGGTAAACGAAGCGGTCACTGATAACAACGGCTTAGTTATCTGTGAAAAGGACAGGACCCTAAATTTATGGGCTGAATACTTTCGAAACCCATTAAACTGGTCGCTTGCAATTCCTCAGCAGGATTCTCAACTGGCAGCATCATCAAAGACAGCAAAATCAGTGTTGACACTAATGCTTCCCCGTTTCACAACTGGCAACGCAGCCCCGGAATGACTGCATTTTGAAGGTACAAGGCACATGTCGACAATAAATAATAAAAATCGTCCAGCTACAGCAGCCTTTCGGTGCGCAACTGCCATACCATCGGAAGGAAGCACGAGGGCTGGGATACTGCCAGGATGTCCAAGCCTAGACAGGGGAAGTCGAGATACAGAGGCCAGACTCGAACCACGCACTTTTCGGTCAGTAAATTGGCGCTCTAAAATGCTTCCCCGTTTCACAACTGGCAACGCAGCCCCGGACAATGACTTTGAAACGCCACGGCTTCAGAAACAAGTAAATGTCTTGTGATCCTTCAAGCGTCACTGCGCTGTTGGTTCTGACGAACTCCCATCCACTGTGTTCAAAAATAGAGGTAAATTCTATAGTGTGTGCAAGGGTATCTTATCTGTGTGTGGACAGAAGAGGCTGCTCCAACCAACTAGGGCGAGTCAGAAGCGGTCTCTGAAAGAGAAAAGAAAGCGTTCAGCTGTAGCACTCTTCCGGTGCCTAGCTGCCATGCCACCCGAAGGAAGCACGAGGGCTGGGATACTGCCAGGTTTCCCAAGCCTAGACAGGGGAAGTCGAGTGGCGGAGGTCGGATTCGAACCACGGACCTTCCGGTCAGTAAATTCACGCTCTAACCACTTGGGCCGTCTCGCGGTCTCTGATGTCAGACGGGATGCTCGAAATGAGTGTGGCAATCACAAAGGGGTTAGCTCGACCCTCGTTACCTTCCTGGTCTCACGACAGTGTGTGATAACGGGATCCGAGAACCGAGAGCAGGCTTCCGGTCCATAGGGGCTATGTGGATCACATCTGCATACTCTGTCAAGTGCTATAGCAACTGCATGCGTATAGGCGCCCCATAACATTGGTATTTCTTGACCTTAGGAGCATTTTTCGATTCTGTCGACTGCTTTTTTTCACGTGCTTGTGCAGATGTTGGGAGGACTACCTTCAGACGAACAAATCCAATTTACTAACGATTTGTCTTGTATACTGAAACCGTTTCTACAGTTCAGCCTCTCACTGACATCCTATTGGACTGTTAGCTCTTGTTATATCCAAGTTCAGTTGAATTCCATACCACGGAACGATCCACTTGTTTGCAGTATAACTTCTCCGACTCGGTGAACTAACGTGTCTGACTGATACATTATCAGAGGATATAACACCGGAAGTTCGTGAACGATCCATTGTTTGCAGTATAACTTCTCCGACTCGGTGAACTAACGTGTCTGACTGATACATTATCAGAGGATATAACACCGGAAGTTCGTGAATATCACACGCTCTCAATAGCCACATACTTGTCGGGATGTGAGTAACGTTCAGCTGTAGCACCCTTCCGGTGACTAGCTGCCATGCCACCCGAAGTAAGCACAAGGGCTGGGATACTGCCAGGTTGCCCAAGCCTAGACATCATAATCATCATTGTCAGCTGTAATAACCGCGTACTCGTCGTAGTGGTTGCAGCTGCCGTAGTTTCGTTCACCGATGATTTGGGGGAGGGGGTAGGTAGCTGCGCATTGCAGGCGCGAGCTGGTAAGTTGGTGCATAAATCCAGCACTGTCAGTGGGCTGTCAAGTGGGGGGTGGAAAAGGAGCTACGCATTGAAGGCAATAGCTTTGATGCACGAGCGCCACTGAGGGCGCGACTGGGCCATGTCTGACAATGTCTCCAGCCATTGATGTGGCCCGTCTCGGGGTCCCCATCCAGGAAGACGGCAGTGACCAGCACAGCTGGTTTTGCTGGTAATGGCTTTCATACTTAGCAACGAAGCCACTGTTTGATCGCCTGTGGCTCTCTTCCACCCTTCACGTAGTTGTGCGAAAAGAGCGCTTCGAGGAATTCGGTCGACTGGCATACGCAGCACGTGGCCAAGCCAGCGCAACCGGTGCAGTGTGATCAGTTCATCTAGGTCATCTAGTTCATCAGCCTAGACAGGGCATGTGAGTGCATGAGGAGCTCTCCAAAAGCTTTCCTACAAGCAGTGGTGTCCAACAAGGATGTCTGCTCTGCATTTTTGTTTGATTCCGTTATCGAACAGATAATAAGGCGAACACCGGAAGGTCTCCGAACCCCCCTGTTCTGATCGTTCCGAGCATGCACTACTTGAAAAACTGACCGGAGCCATTCAGTCCTTCGGGATGTGCTTCATGTCCGCATGTCGTTCAGCTCTAACACCCTTTCGGTGTCTAGCAGTCATGTCACCTAAAGGAAACAATAGGGGTGGAATACTGCCGAGTTGCTCCGCACTCCTGGATCGTTTTCCGCGTGATCCACAGGGAGACGCTGTCAAATGAAATCAATAGCGTCCCTGTTGTCAGTTTTTTAATCCGGAATGTCTGAGTTTTTGTAGATGAAGGCACCTCCGAATGAATCTGGTTCTCTAGTGATAATAATAATAATAATAGTAAGAAGAATAAAATCCATCAGCTGTAGCACCCTTTCGGTGCCTAAATGCATTGCCGCCCGAAGGAAGCACGAGGGCCGGGATACTGCCGGGTTACCCAAGCCCAGACAGGGGGTCGGGAGGCAAAGGTCGGGTTCGAACCTTCCAGTCAGCAGATTCGAACCCTAACCACTGGGCCATCTCGCCCCCGCCTGAGTTCTTTCCTCATCAACTTTCTTACTTTGCTTGATAAGGCTTTCAAATAATCATTGTTTTATTGCAGCAAAGCGTCCGTTTTGAACCTTGACGTTATGCTGTCGGTGATGATGGTGACGACAGCAAATCATTTTTATACGGTACTAACTTCCAGTATGACCGTAGTCTGGCAACATGGGACCCTCCAACAGCAAAGCATCAAGGGATCTAAATAGATCAAGTCGCCACAAGCTACCAGTAGCGCACTAACTGAAGCTCCTTTTGGGATGGATCCTGTCTGGTGGCGATTTCCTCTGCGCAAGTAGTAGACGGTTCACTTGAGAACCGACTGGCTCGCTGATCCTTGATTCTGGCAAATTTTTCGGGAGCACTTAGCTCACTTAAAAATGTTCCGTTATAGGATGGCAATTCCTCCTGGAAAGCAGCCGGGGTTTGTCTGCGTCACAACACAGCTCGCTTTACTCCAGAAATGGATCTCACCATGAACCGTAGAATTTTTTAATAGTGGTGTTGATCAAAGACTGAGGATTCAACCTACCATCTTCATAATGCGGCCGAATTCCTCGAACCGTAGAGGGATTCAGCGCAAACAACCCGTCTAAATTATTTTTATGGTCGACAGGGGACAGTTTTTAGTGGTCACAGTTGGAAAATTGCAGCGAATGTGGAACACGCTCCTTAAATTGCAGTATGAAAGATCTTACACTTCCAAAATATGTGTACTTATCGGTAGTTTCAAATAATCCACTCTCTCTTTTGTCAAAGTAGTCTAGTCTCGTTCCCTTTTTCTTCCGAAGTCCATTTCGCGAGCTGTCTTTCGAAAATATTGAGGTATTTGCTCATGAGAGTGTAAAGAGCTGACGCAGACCCTAGAATGGACTAATTCACTGAACTCCTCAACCGCATTGGCCTATTATTGTGTTTTGGGAGATATACTCTAAATAAGAAGTCCAAAAGACTTGCACCTGTGAATTCTGATGTGTCTCAAAGAAGGATGATAGACCCAGGGACAAAAAGTATCCTAGCGTAGATCTCATCGTCACAAAAGAATTTTTCGCTGTGTGCTTTAGTGGTTCAGGCGCAAATCTACTCACCAGGTCTGCGGTTTGACTCCGACCCTGCCATCTCGAATGCTCCCCTCTAGACTTGGACACCCTGGGAGTATCTCGTCTTAGTTCTTCCTTCGGGTGGTGTGGCAGCTGAGCACCGAAAGGTGCTACAACTGAACAGTCATTTATTATCATTCCTTCATCTGAGCGCGTTTCGTCAGCATTTTGCACCAGACGAAGTTGAGACGAATTACGTCCAAGAGACTATGTTGGCTAGATCTTTGTCTTGCGGTACATCCTCGAACGTCGTATCATGTATCAACAGCCATCAACAGCCCGCATCATAGACTTACGCGCTGTCTTTCAGCCCTGCGAATGGCATATCTCTGGCGAAAGGAACCAACCAACAACGATCCTGCTGCGCTCAGACCATGGTTCCTATCCCTGTCTGCGATTAATTTTCCAGAACTTAAAACAGACACTGAAGTTCGACGCCTGTCATCTTCAGCGCCAAACAGGTTTGTCGTAGACTGTTCGTGCATGAATATAACTGATCTCAGGCGCTCAAGTCGCCGCTCTCGAATGCACTGATCGCAGAGTTTTTGCGACATTTAGAGCAATTACGATACCCTACAACAGTTATTTGATCGCTTTCCAAATCCGATCAGACATTAACGTCACGAAGCTTGGATGTTTTTACATCATCATCACCAAGGACAGCAACATCAGGCCGCTCTCGCACTGATCGCAGAGTTTTTGCGACATTTAGAGCAATTACGATACCCTACAACAGTTATTTGATCGCTTTCCAAATCCGATCGATCATTAACGTCACGAAGCTTGGATGTTTTTACATCATCATCACCAAGGACAGCAACATCAGCGTTGCCACTGATGCTTCACTGCCGTACAACCACAAGGTTTGTCTAGTTTATATATATATATATATAAACTAGACAAACCTTGTGGTTGTACGGCAGTGAAGCATCAGTGGCAACGCTGATGTTGCTGTCCTTGGTGATGATGATGTAAAAACATCCAAGCTTCGTGACGTTAATGTCTGATCGGATTTGGAAAGCGATCAAATAACTGTTGTAGGGTATCGTAATTGCTCTAAATGTCGCAAAAACTCTGCGATCAGTGCATTCGAGAGCGGCGACTTGAGCGCCTGAGATCAGTTATATTCATGCACGAACAGTCTACGACAAACCTGTTTGGCGCTGAAGATGACAGGCGTCGAACTTCAGTGTCTGTTTTAAGTTCTGGAAAATTAATCGCAGACAGGGATAGGAACCATGGTCTGAGCGCAGCAGGATCGTTGTTGGTTGGTTCCTTTCGCCAGAGATGTGCCATTCGCAGGGCTGAAAGACAGCGCGTAAGTCTATGATGCGGGCTGTTGATGGCTGTTGATACATGATACGACGTTCGAGGATGTACCGCAAGACAAAGATCTAGCCAACATAGTCTCTTGGACGTAATTCGTCTCAACTTCGTCTGGTGCAAAATGCTGACGAAACGCGCTCAGATGAAGGAATGATAATAAATGACTGTTCAGTTGTAGCACCTTTCGGTGCTCAGCTGCCACACCACCCGAAGGAAGAACTAAGACGAGATACTCCCAGGGTGTCCAAGTCTAGAGGGGAGCATTCGAGATGGCAGGGTCGGAGTCAAACCGCAGACCTGGTGAGTAGATTTGCGCCTGAACCACTAAAGCACACAGCGAAAAATTCTTTTGTGACGATGAGATCTACGCTAGGATACTTTTTGTCCCTGGGTCTCTCATCCTTCTTTGAGACACATCAGAATTCACAGGTGCAAGTCTTTTGGTCTTCTTATTTAGAGGATATCTCCCAAAACACGATAATAGGCCAATGCGGTTGAGGAGTTCAGTGAATTAGTCCATTCTAGGGTCTGCGTCAGCTCTTTACACTCTCATGAGCAAATACCTCAATATTTTCGAAAGACAGCTCGCGAAATGGACTTCGGAAGAAAAAGGGAACGAGACTAGACTACTTTGACAAAAGAGAGAGTGGATTATTTGAAACTACCGATAAGTACACATATTTTGGAAGTGTAAGATCTTTCATACTGCAATTTAAGGAGCGTGTTCCACATTCGCTGCAATTTTCCAACTGTGACCACTAAAAACTGTCCCCTGTCGACCATAAAAATAATTTAGACGGGTTGTTTGCGCTGAATCCCTCTACGGTTCGAGGAATTCGGCCGCATTATGAAGATGGTAGGTTGAATCCTCAGTCTTTGATCAACACCACTATTAAAAAATTCTACGGTTCATGGTGAGATCCATTTCTGTTGTGACGCAGACAAACCCCGGCTGCTTTCCAGGAGGAATTGCCATCCTATAACGGAACATTTTTAAGTGAGCTAAGTGCTCCCAGTGTTGCTCGCCCTGCATCACACTCAGCTACAGCCTCTGCACGTCCGAGTTTAGTTACAACCCTAAACACTTCAAAGTCTGTTTTCAAACCTCGAAAGCCTGTCTATTTAGCCACCTTGAATGTTCGCACGCTGTTTTTACATCATGCACGGCCAAATTTCCCAGCAACAGTGCGGTTTTGGTTTTCCAGCAAATGGGCTCAACTATGCTAGCAATCGGTGTTCGCCAAAGTTAAACATGCAATATGCATGAGGTGATGGCATGAAACCAGTTGAGATTGAGGCCCATATACGTCTACCCTCTTTTTGCTTTATGTACGGCCGTCACACCTGGACGGTAGGCGTCAGTGGTCGTTACAGGTTGGAATTCTTCGATCAGTGATACCTGCGCTTTCCTGGTCATCATCAAAATCAGTGCTGACAATGATGCTTCATTGCCGTAAAACCACAAAGCTCACCTAATTGAAGGTATGTTCAGAGTACGTTATGAAGCATGACTGCATTTTGAAGGTACAAGGCACATGTCGACAATAAATAATAAAAATCGTCCAGCTACAGCAGCCTTTCGGTGCGCAACTGCCATACCATCGGAAGGAAGCACGAGGGCTGGGATACTGCCAGGATGTCCAAGCCTAGACAGGGGAAGTCGAGATACAGAGGCCAGACTCGAACCACGCACTTTTCGGTCAGTAAATTGGCGCTCTAATACCGAGGCTTCTTATAAATGTCGAAAGACGGTGAAATTGTGGTAAGGTTATTCAACAGATCTTATGCTGCGCATTCGTGCTCAAAAATGAAGGCAATGTCATTCGCGTATTCCTGACCGACAAGGTTCGTCCCAGCAACAACTTCCCAGCCATCGCCTCATCATTTCATCAATGGCGTAGTTGAACAAGAATGGAGACTGGACATCATTGTGGGGCATCACATTTTGTAGGCAAGTGGTTATGGAGCTCACTATATGCTCGCACACGGCCCGAAGTATGTGAACACAAAAACAGGATTACATTCACGAACTTCTCAGGCACGCACTGCTTATCAAGTGTAGTTAACAGCATCGACCGATCGAAAGAACCGAAAGCACTCATGAAGTCAAGGAATACCAAGATTGAGGGTTCCTTGTACACATGACATTGCTCTAACATCTGACGGTGTGATCGACGTAGCATTTCCGCAGATGAAACACCGCTTGATAATTGCGGGTGAAGGATTCACGTGTGCGTATTATTATACTCACCCTATATAGTCGTACTGAACCTTTGTATGTACAATTCAGCTCGTCCATGCTTGTTCTTAGATAAGTAAAACGCACCTTATCCTCGAAAACCCGGACTCTGTTCTGCCTCGTTCTTGGACTCATTCTGAAAAACTCACTCACGTTAGACAATGAAGAGTCAGTGACGCCAGAAGCCTTTTTGAAGCTGGAGTCAAACTGTAAACTCTGTGATTTCCACACTCACTGCGAGTACCCTTTTTAAAAATGGGCACTATTATCGACTCGGCCCAGTTATCTGGAACTGTCTCTTCCTCCGAGATGGACCAGAATAGGCTAGACGGGCACTGGCTGAGAAACCCACCACCATCCTTGAAGAGAACAGGTTGAAGGTCGTCAGGGCCAGGAGCACGATGACCCTTGAGTAGAAATATACACTCAGACACGGCAGTGAAGCATCGGTGTTGAACACTGATGTCATGCTATCGATGGTGATGATGATGATGATGACTCAGACACTTCTAAGGTTGAAGGCGACTCTGTATTCAGTCTACCTCTTTATTGAAGACCAGGATTCCTGATTGGAGGTAGCAGGCAACTGTTCGAAGCATTGGGCCCAGTGATCCACACACTCCTTTTTGCTAGACATTTGAGAACGATTCTGACCCCTGATAGTTTCGCTGACAAGAGACTTCTGATGACCAGTAAAACGAACTGAAAGGAAAAGCCCGCGGACGTTTCTAACACTTTTGCGTCTTCTTCGGTCTTTTCTGGGCTATATCACAAACCGAAGGTGCGGCACTGAGTAGTACTGGATATCTGTTCCCAATAACCGCTCATATCCGACAAGGGAAAGTCCGGCAGGTGTCTGATGAGCAGGTTTGAGTCCACCAGCTACTAAATAGCTAAGTGAGGTGTGCGCGTTTGGCGTACACCTGAAAAGAGCAATGAAGAGCAGCTGCACACAAGTGCATGGCCGAAGTCCACGCTAGTTTTCCAGAAGAATAAACCAAAGAATTTATCAGAAACAAGCATACTGGTTCCAGCTGCTAGTCTCGATCACCGGGAAGTGGAAAAGTGTGGGACATGCAGCCAAGCCTTTGAGGTGATGCAATGTTAGATTAGTTAGGAAACTAGGTGTCCAATAAGTTGAAGGGGCTTTCGCTCAGCCGCATATTACAACGCTCACCCTGGCAAACCCTGCTACAGAGGCCTAAGCATCACCAGAGATGCGCAGCCGGAACCTCAAACAGAGCGAGGGAGCAGTCAGTCCAGTTACAGTACCTGTATTCAGTAACTTTGTCTCCGAAAAACAGCATACATCAATGCAGAGCAAATCCGGTGTACGAGCAAGAGTCACTAGTCCTGCTGGTTGCAGTGTGAGAACAACAAATTAGACAGGTTTCCGGGTTTTGCAAAGACTTCAGTGTTTGGGGTTTTAATAAAGTCTGACTGCGAAGCTGCAGCTGCGCATGATGCACGGCGAACAAACGGTCAGTCCTAGTGCAGGGATTAGGAGTGCTAAAACTGGGAAGAAGTAGGGTGGAAGAGAACGAAAGTGTAAGAAATAGTGTCCGTGGTGGCACGTTTTCGCCTACCCACCCTAGTGTACGCGGCAGGTAGGGCGTCCTGGTTGGAGACACCACGCCATGGCCGATGTGTAACGGTTGCACGTAGGTCGGAATAGTGCCAGGGCTCACAGACCTAGGTAGGACGGTTAGGATCTTCGACCAAACCCTTCGGTTCAAAAGCCTGACTGCAAAGCAGCGATATTTGACACAAAAGCAAGTGCATCACCGCTTTTGTACATGTCGCCACACATGTTCTGACCCCCAAGCTGTAAGATCAGGAGACTGTGTTGGTAAGCCTCATAACCACTGACCAAACCGGCACGAGATTCTGGAAGTATCCCACAAAAACCACTCAGTTTATCACAGTGGACCACAGACACACGGTCAGAGATAAACGGTCATCTCGTTGTGACGGACAGAGGAACAAAGTATGCCAAGCGAACCGCGAACAGGCAGCTAAAGATGTGTGGTCTATCCAGCAGAAACGCGTTCGCTCAGTGCTTCAACAAAACAACCACTATCCAATTCCAGAGGCACGTGACTGGGTTCGTTCAGCTGCAGCACCCTTTCGGTGCCTAACTGCCATGGCACCCGAAGGAAGCACGAGGGCTGGGATACTGCCAGGTTGCCCAGGTCTAGGCAGGGGAAGTCGAGAGACAGAGGTCGGGCTCGAACCACGGACCTTCCGGTCAGTAAATTCGCGCTCTAACCGCTTGAGCGATCTCGCGCGACTGGGTAAGAAAACGGTGAGGGGCAAACTGTTTAATTGCTATCCTTCATTCTGACAGACCACAAGCGACGAAGAAAAAAAGAAAAAGCGATTTGTAGACGACTGCTTAAATTAGGTATCTAACCAAGCTGTAGTTGTCTGTCGCAGCCCGTGACGAAGACCAGCTCGACGTCGTTGTGGATAACAGTTCGTTTGACATCTGGTTTTGACTGACCCTTCACTCACAGAGTGTTAAACCATTCTCGCGTAATCACCGGTCAGGCGTGACCTTACCGTACGAATGCAAGATTGTCGGCTAAAAGAATAACTTTCAATCGCCTGCTGACGATCCAACTCGTAAAATTTGTTTTCAAATGAATGGGCAGAGGCATATGGTGCACACGTGCGACGATGATTTTGTTCGTAAATCCAACTGGCGGAAATAACACCACCGCCTGAACTTATTACGACTGACCGAAAAAATGGGACAAGCCCTGTTACTGAGGGATTCATTGGAAAGCCCCCCATAAGCAACGGGATAGTTGCGCACATCAATAGTTCCACACCCACCTACCCCAGAACGAATGGGGTAAAAAATTTCGGACTACCTGTTTATTACAGAACTGCATGAATACACACCACAAGGGGTACTTTATGCAACAGCTGGAACAACCGAAGCGACATGACCGAAACTAGTTTCGAAACGCGCGCGGGGCACCAAGTACGTTAGGCACGCTCACCAGTTCACCGACTGCTACACAGGACTAAGGGTTGGGTTTGTTGCTGTCGTATAGCAGCTTCGAATCGCCTGGAAGGTACGAGCAAAAAGTGTGAAATTGCTACAAAAGTTTAAGGAGATGGGACTAGTAAACGTAAGTACTCACCAGAGGGACAAAATTATATCCAATGGGTTAGGCAGGCCACGCAAAAAATATCAGACAAAGGGTCAAATAAGCGACGGTTATATGGAAAGAGAAACGCTGTTATTTTGAAACAGCGCGCACCCCACATTTTAGAAGTTTGCTGTGACCATGATTTGCATCGGTATTGTCAACCCATAACACCGAAATATCAAAAATCTGTCCGAGGGTGCAGAAGGTTCTCGTGATATGACAACCAGCTACATGAAGGAGCGTAAGATTGACGAAGCACAGTTCATTGTTAATCAATTAACGGCCAACAAACACCTTCTTAGTTAGCTGCATACTCTCAATGCATGTTACGGCAGTCGAAGATGTCAACAAAGTCTCTCCACCATACTTCCAGCAACCTGATATCCCCAGCTCAACACGGAATTCTCCCACACCCTCTTGCGTGACAAGCATGCTCGCGTTTATGAACAGCTCAACCCAAGCCAAACACGACGGATTCATATCGGATGCCATATTTTTTGACTTCTCAAAAGCATTTAATAGGGTCCCAAACCTACCGCTGCTCCACCAACTCGAGTCTTACGGGATTCAAGGAAAAATCCTTTGCTGGATCAAGGCGTTCTTATCGTACAGATCATTCCGAGTGAGAATAGGCTAGACCTACTCCTCTCCAGCGTCGGTCCCCATCGGACTTCCTCAAGGATCCGTCCTGAGAGCACTGCTGTTTCTGATCTACGTCAACGACTTCCCAGATGTTCTTGCGAGCCATGTCTACTTTGTGCAGACGACTTGAAATCCTGGAGTTCCAATTCCACTGCCTTCAAAATGGATGTAGACGCTGCCAAGTAATGGTCATTGGACTGGCACCTTCCTCTGAATGACGAAAAGTGCGTCCATATGTCGTTTGGAGGGGATTCAGCGAATGCCTATGTTACGCATGGTGAAGAATGACCAGAAACCATCATGGGGATAGACGCCACAAAGGATTTGGGCATCTGGGTCTCCTCAAACATTTCCTTCTCACTGAACCGTGAGAAATCGGCCCAAAAGGCGCCTTCGTACGGACGGTCCGAACCCCTTTCTCCCGTATTACTCGCATGGACTTCCAAATACTCTATGGGGCTTACGTCAAACGGCTCCTGGAGTACGCCAACCAAGCTGTCTATTCAGGACGCACGAAAGACGTCGCCCTCATCGAGCGTGTCCAGCGGGCCGCTACGAGAATGGTTACCGGCCCCAATACGGTGGACTACGAAACGTGTCTCGCGATGATTGATCTCTCCCCCCCCGGCGTACCGTCGCCACCTTACTTATGCCCTGTTTGAGCAAAGCTTGGCAAACAGGTCTTTCAAGATCAGATCACACACATTCATCAGACAAAATTTTTTCTCATTTCGGGTAGCAGGTGCGTGGAATGACCTTCCTCCGACGGTTGTTCACGCTCTTACAACCCAATTTAAAGCACTATTTGACACTTATTTATGCGAATCCTCGTGCTGGCGATCATACTGCTCCGTGCTGAGTACATGAAAACCGGTGCTATACCCTTTTTTCACTAGTGCCTCTCAGGTGAACGACAGCCACTGACCGACAAGAACGAATGCGCCCCGAGAAACTTGGGCAGTATCCTCGATCACGTGTATCAATCCGTGAATCCGTGATTCAGAGCTACTGACAAAATGACGCCCGCGCCTCCCCACTAAAGCGCTTTCTGTGTGTCGAACACCTTAGTAAACCTGTCGTCATAGCGCTCTCTCCACAACTAACCCCCCCGCGCTCCACCATTCATTATTCACTTACGAAGTTGGCCACACTACCTACTGGCCACATTACCCACATACCCTGATCCCGCTAGCAATCTTTCTGTCGTTCAAATCAACGCCCACTCTCTTACCCAAATTGAACTACATCCAAGCTATCTCTACTATAGCTCGTCGACCCTTCATTTGCATCACAGAGACATGGGCCTCTCCTAGCACACCTGATGCCCTTATCTCCCTTACGGGACACACTATCTTCCGTTCCGATCGTTCCCATCGCCGGGAAGATGACTGCCTCATATGCGCCGGAACTGAAATGGAAGTCTCCACCACTGATCATAAACTACTGGCGGACACTCCAGAGTCTGTTTGGCTTTCTGCCTGTCGGGCTAATCCGCCGTTCACCCTCGGGCGTTTTTACATGCCCCCTCCACACTCCGTTAGCTCGATTAATGGTCTACCAACGCCTCTTGTTACACTCAAGCTCTATCCCACACAAACAAACTGATTTTTCGGGATCTCAACATTCCTGAGATTGCCTGGTCTCAACAAACCCCCTTTGTGTCTTCCGCCACTGCTCGCCCAACTTAATGTCGAACCTTGTCCCAGTTTGTAAGGCAACCGACACGCGGTGCCCACACCCTGGACATTGCCCGTGTCAACGGCTATCTGTGTCCCACCGCTGCAGTTGGGCCGAAGTTTCCTGACAGTGACAATTGCATTGTAACTCGCAAACTGGTATTCTACCTTCAGCTACTCGTCCTCTCTTAACTTCTTTCATCCTTTCTGCGGACATTCTTGAAGCCTTTGCAATTTCATTGCGCCATAAGACCTGGTACGATTCCTCGCTCTCTGGTGGCTAACATCTTTTACGGAAACCTACTATAATAATCATATCTAGTTGCTCCCACACGAGCTTTCTATGCTTCTGGTTGCCATCCAGCCACACGATTACCTGCTATACGCCATAAATTTAGGAAGTAGCGTAGGCTCTTCCTTGAATCCCATGATCGTTCCCTTCTTATTGTAATAAACAAACTTATGACTGATATCACCACGGTCAAACTCGAACCTGAAAAGCGTGAGGAACAAACCGCCGTAGCCCATTTTCTACAGCCTGAGATGCTGGGACGCCTCTTTCGCCGGCGTTGCTTCTCACATTCATCGGCATTTTCAAATATTGTGGCCGCTGACAGGAAGCCTCTCTCTGACCCTGCTGATATTGTGGAACCATTAAACCTCTACTTCGCTAGCTGCTATGTTCCCCCGTCGACTCTGTCTACTTATTGCTCCCCACCTGGATATGTAGTGACGACATATGCTAACGAGACAAGCCCCAACCTCTGTACACTCTGTTAGATTGTCTGACATAACTTCGTCCCTCGCCCGCCTTGAACACTCCAGCTTTCCAGGAACTGACGGCATCCCTTCGCTTATCTTAAAAGCTGGTGGCCCGGACGTACCCACCCTCATCCTTAGTCTCTTCAATATCTCCCTTATCACTGGAACAGTCCCTACTCAGTGGAAGCACTCTACGATTGTCTAACACGAACTGCTCTAGCCAGCTGTCGTGACATCCACCATACCTGCCTACTCCTCCGAACCCTAGAGTTCCCCATCAAAATCCCTGCCATGGACCACCTGCTTACCACCAAAACCCTTAGCAATCGGCAGTATGGGTTTATGGCATGGTAGTCAGCTAACACAGGCCAGGTTGATTTCTTCAATCATATTTTGTTTGCCCACGATACAGCACTGTGTATTACGCTTATTTATCTTGATATTCGCAAGGCATTCGACCAAATTCCCCACGGTGCACTCCTCAACAAATTACGAGCTGCGGGGATTGGCGGCCTACTACTGCGATGGTTCGCTTCTTACCTCACTGGTAGAACCCAGACCACCAGAATCGGGGATCTCTGCTCCTCAGCCCTCCTCATTACCAGTGGAAGTATTCAGAGTAGTGCGCTTGGCCCTCTACTGTTCTTACTATACGTTAACAACGTCACCGATTCGATCACCCATGGATCCCCTTTTATATTTGCTGATGACATTAAGATAGCTTATACGTTTAAGGCCAGGGATTCTGTTTCTACCTTGCTAACATTCAGCCTGACCTGAATTCTTTAATACCCTTGTCTTCCAACTCCTGTCTTCCTTTCGCTGTTCCAAAATGTCAAGCCGTCACGTCGACGCTTACGCTTATTGGACCCTCGATTCCTACCTTCTCGAAGTGAGAGACCTAGACCCCAGTTATTTCTGTACGTTGAGCTTCAACCAACATGCAAGATACACAGTGGCTAAAGGTCGCAAGCCCTGCACTTACATTCGACAATCCTTCCATAATAAATCATGTTTAATTGCCATTTTTAGAAAATTTGCAAGGCCCACTCTTGAATCAAGCTCCGAATTCGCCTCACGGTATTCACAGACATGCCGGATTGCTGTGATAAATGTACAGCGTCCGTTATCTAAGTCTCTGTTTCCGGTGTCATTCACAGTACCGTATCGTCTTCGCTGCTTGTCACTTGAACTGTATCCATTATGGCTAAGGCGCATCAGGTTGAATCTAGGCCTTCTGCATCGCCTAGTCTACCGGCAAGCTTACATAGCCGACTGCTGCATAAATTTTCTTCCTGTAAACATATCAAATGGTGGGCCTGAAGATGCGCTATGAATGAAATCCTTATTTGGTCTCATAGCCCAAGCATTCACACATCACATAACACTGGTGCGCCTCTACTTGACAGAGTGGTCACACCAATGCTTCGTCTTCGTTTAGTTATAGTACATGGGCTCTGAACATCTCCATTCTACAAGCATTCACACATAACACTGGTGCGCCTCTACTTGACAGAGTGGTCACACCAATGCTTCGTCTTCGTTTAGTTATAGTACATGGGCTCTGCTCTG